ATGCGATAATACTTTTCTGCATGCTGGCGCTGGCCAATATATTGAGCAAAGCGCTCGTCATGTGTAATGACAATTAATTGGAAGTTTTCTTGACCTTTCCTGTCCTCCATAATTCTGGTGATATCGAAGGACCAAAGAGGCAACTCTAAAGAATCTATATTGAAAAAGAGCTCACAATTAATAAATGAACACCAAGCACATACCTTAAGAGAGCTGCTGCAAGACTCTCACTGTTGGGGCCATCTAGGTTTGTGGTTGGTTCATCCAGTGCGAGAATTCCGCAGTTGAGACAAAACGTTTCAGCCAATGCCAATCTTATAATAAGTGATGCAAGGACCTGAAGAATAACAACGCTTTCAGTAAACAACTGAAAAAGAGTCCAGTAATTTTTTTTTTTTTTTTGGGGGGGGGTAGGAGGCAAGGCAGAGGGAAAGGACATGGTCAAACCAAAGCTTTTATTGGCATATAAATTAAGTGAACACGTGAAAGAAAAAAATGAGATGATTGATCACCTTTTGGCCAGCGCTACACCTCCCTCGCATCTCTAGCTCAGTATCACCAGTTTGCATCAAAACCTGTGAATCACAAGCATTTGTTTTAAAAAGGAAAACTGAAAGAAGTCAGACAAACATTCAGGGGCTTCAAGCGTGAAGCGCACAATTTACCCACAAAAAAAACCCTAATATACGGGGATTTAGTACTTACACATCAAGATTAATTTCAACGTCCACTTTACCCCTTGCCAACCACAAGGTGTATTTTAATTGGATTTATTCTTTACAGCCTTTACCATGTTCGAGTATACATAGGGAAATATCTTTCACATTAGAACTACTTCTATTCATCCCACCTTCTCAAATACCATCACATATTAAATTCTTTCAGCTGATAAAGAAAACACTACATAGCAGGCTTTAAAGATAGTTTAGTACCCTATAGCTGTAGGATCGAGTACCAGAACCTTCGGAATCTGAATGAATGCTTATGTAATCTATGTCCTGGCCCCTGTAAGTCTGCTGCCACAGTTCCCTGATAATCTTATTGATCTCTTCCATTTTCATTGTATGGAAGCGCATCAGTGCTCTGAAACAAGAGAAAAAAAATAGAACATTTAAAGTATTTAATTCCACATATGATTAAGTACAGGAGACGCCTGAAAAGAGTACGACATAGAAAAATGGTCATCGTCTGGATAAGACACAATTTTTTTCAAAAAAGAAAAGGGACGGGAGCTCGAAAAGTTGGATACGGAATTAAATTTTGTGCAACGTTGATCTAGGAAACTAACGTTACATGACCTAGGGAGATGCATGTAAAGAGTAGGACCTGTACAGAGATTTGAGAATGAATTGCTTTATTATTCCGTCAAGTATGTTGGGGTTTAAAGCAAAAATATACAATTGTGTTTTAAGTCTTAAGTATAGAGTTTGTTCTATCCTCAAATGATCCACCACACCACGGAATGTATGGTGTTCCTTATGCAATAAGAATGTTTAACAATGGTTTTCCTCTGCCAAGCAAATAATAACTCAAAAGCAGAACTTGGCATGCAGTAGTAGATACCCAAAGTATCAAAGACGAGGCTTCATATCTAATGGTTGACTTCAAAACGAACAAAAAGATGATTGATATCACTTGGGTGTACTTTTCAAACCTACCTTTTTGAATGAAGTTCTTTCTTTAAACGAAGAAAAGACACAAGGGTAGCGGCCTTAAGGTTTTGGTCTGTGGTAAAAGTGCAGCTCGTGATTTGTGTGTTAGGTGCATGTCATGAGTTCGAACCATGATACACACAAAAGCCCAGTATTTAAGTAGAAGAGTAGGGCAGGTCCATTATCCACTGAGTTTAGAACCGTGCGCTAGCTGACCCTAGGAGATTTCTTGGTTATCAAAAAGAAGAAAAGAAAGGACCTGTAGATAGCAATGTAACATAACATTCTCTTCTCCTCCTCCTCAGTACTAAGAAAAAAGAGGTAAATGATTCAACAAAGAGTAAACAAGACTACATTAATGCAATCTCCCTTAAATTTTTAACTCACTAACAAAAAAAAAGGTAATAACAGAATTTTTTTTAAGAAAAAAGTATTGAAAAAATATGTGCTCCATTCATGAAAACACAACATATTTGAACTATTCCAATTAATATAGTCTTTGAATATTCTTTAACAAGTTAGAAGAAAAATGTTTGAGTGCTAGAACCACATGCTGTCTGTGAGAATGCACGTAAACTTATATAAAGTACAGAAAGAATCTAATAGCTAAAGTAAAAAGAGCTCACTTGTCAAGGGCACTGTAATATCTGTCCAGATCCTTGTTTGCCATCTCCGTAGTCTGTACAAAAGTACATTAATGACACTATTAGATACTCTAATGCCATAAATAACTAAGCAATTAGCTTCATTGCACCAATGGACTAAGATATTACCTTCAGCTGGATTAACTGATCAAAATAGCGTTTGTCAATATCCTTGTACTGTGCCTGCTTAAGATCAACTTTGTTCTTGGAAATGCTGCTTTGATAAACAGATAGGGTACCATGGCACTTGTTTAACTGCAATAAGAAAAATCATGAAAATTCAAAAGACAGTAGATTGCCACATGAATCTAAACATGTGCAGTGCTTTACTGAAAGATAGGAATATCAAAGCAATGAAAGTGTGAGTGAACAGTCAGGAGGAATGACACCCACCAAGGAATCAAGGAATAGTATCCAAGAGAAATATCGAATAAAAACTACAGCACTCACTATGTAGCTGATGCAAGTTATTTGATGATAATGCGTGATAAACTACTTTGAACTTGTTTCTAATCCGCGTTGCTGAAGCTCAATTGTGTCTAGAAAGAATCCACTTTCAGACACACTACTGTTGTAGCTAGAAGAATTAAATTAACTAGACCAGATTATAGACCTTTAAAGTTGAACTCTCCATCATGGTTAAGCTTGTATATTTTCCAACCTTTTCTGAAAGAAATATGGAAGCAAGAAGAGAAAAATTCCCGAGCGTAACACATCCATCTAAAGTCAAAAGGTACCAAATGATGTCTATCGGTTATTTATACCAAAACTGTATTCGAACTCATTCACAAATTGATCAATTCATACCTCAGAAAGTAGCTTCTCTCTTTCATGTGAAAGCTTTTTAAGCTCAGCCTCAATAGTGGAGAGGCCACCCATCTTCAGCACTTTATCTTCCAGTAATTCAATCTCACGGGTGAGCTTATCAACTTCAGCCTTAGTTTTCCTATAGTTCAAGTTATCCTCAATGTTGCGTCTCAAACTGTCCTGGTTCTGCATTAAAGCATTACTTTTCGCCACTTCAGCCGAAATCTCTTGCTTTCTGGACTCACAATTTTGAAGCTGAGATTCTGACAGGCTTCGCTTGTCCTGCAGTTCATTCAATTTTTGTTCTTTCTTTAACTCATAATACCTGCAGCACAAAACTAATTTCAATATCACCGGTTAAAGAATAATCTTCATTCCATCTAATTTATTGGACATACTCTCTAATTTTGGAGGTAATCTTCTTAAGTTCATCTACATCTTGTTGATAATGTCTTCTAATTTCTGCCTGCTCTTCCAACTCCTTGCTAAGTTTTGTTTTCAGATTTTGGTAGTCCCTAAAGTGCTTGTCCTTTTCCTTCGACAAGGGACCAACAGCCTCTGCAAGATGCTGAAGTTCACAATTATAAACAAATGCAATGTGGACTAGGAATCCATACTGTTTCTAGTTTTAAAAAGTAGACATTAAAGTACATGTAAAGTAGATTCATGCAACAACATCAAAGATAGGCCTGCAATGGGTTGGATCAATTAACAAGAAAGCAACAAAAATACAATTATGAATAAAGTCTGTCTGAAATCAACTTGTGTGAAACGAAATTTCTAAGAGCACAGATGTTTTTTCATCTATAAAGTGCTTTTTGACCTGGCACATGCACAAAGGACTTCATAATTCCCAAAGAATAAAGTTGCAAACTACTCCGAGTTGCAAAATGGCAAGCACCAAAGGATGTGGAAATGGACCAAGTTTGTCCAAGGATCCTCCAAGTATTTTATAAAGCACACAGGACCAAAACTACCATGACAGACTAGAAAATTCAACGTATATTTCTGACATCTCCTTAATGCTTTCCTTTTCGAAGGACAGAAGCCGTATATTTCTGACATCTCCTTAATGCTTTCCTTTTCGAAGGACAGAAGCCGGAATAATCAAGCACACATTCTCCATGCAGAATGGTAGTTTGTCCTATAACATCCATTAACCACAAATGCATCACACTAAACAAATATATTAGCAAAACACTGGAAGTTTGGCAAATTAAAAGGTCCGAAAAATTGAGATATCAGGAGCCTAATAGATAGCTGGCTGGAACAAAAGATAGCTAAGTTCCAGAAGCAGCTTTGGAGGACCATTCCTTTGAGTATTCTCTGGACCATTTGGAATGAAAAAGATAGTGCCTGTTTTGAGAATAACAAGAGTCAAATTTCTAGAATTAAGAACTTATGTCTGCATAATCTATTTTTCTGGTGTAATAGGTGTTTATTAGAAAGTATGGATCAGTACTTGGAATTTTTGACTCTGCCAGGAAATATGTAATAGGGAGCTATTTATAGGTGTCTGTTTTGTTTTGTACTATTGTCTACCTTCTTGGTACATTCTTTTAATCATACTTTACCCCATGGATAAAGTAATATTTACCTCAACGTTCTTGTTAGTTTACAGATATGTATAGTGTAGTCTTGTCCCACATTGGAAGATGAGTAATATCTCCTTGTAGTGTATAGCTATAAATAGGGACCTCCTGTATTGTATTTAAACATTTAATATCAATAATATATTTTCTCCCGTACTTTCTCACATGGTATCAGAGCAATAGAGCATTAGTGAGAAACCCGTCGATGTGCATCATTCCAGCGACTTCTGGGAAGAAAGACCTCTTCGCCGTGCAATTTTCCGGCGACTTAGAAGGTTGTCCGTAAGCAAATCACTTTCTGTTGGTGTTTGCAAAAACCAACACCAACACAAGACTCCTCAGGCTCCGGCGACCAAACTCCAGTCAACCCCACCGGAAAACACACGTCCACGCGCCCTCACGTGCCGGGAAAAATAAAATTCCGGCGAGATCTGAGTCACACGCCGGCGCGTGAACACTGTTCCGGCCAGATTTTGAAAAAGTTCCAGTTGAACAGTAGAATCGCCTGGTAATTCCGATCCTACCCTCACTGGTTTTGTTTCATTCCGACCACTTTGAGTTTTTCCGTCAGCTACAGTGTTTCCAGCGCAGAACAGTGTTCTGTTTTCCTGCCGTAAACAATGTCTTTCAAGCTATTTCTTCAGTTTTCTTACAGGATTTACTTATTTCCACTATTTCAAGTTAACCCTACTACTACAAATTGTAGCGACATGGGAACCGATGCTTTGAATAGTCGGATGGTTTCTTTAGCAGATTATATTGAGTTCCTTCAGTACAAAGCATGTAAGCAGACATCTCGTAGCGACATGGGAACCGATGCTTTGAATAGTATGATGGTTTCTTTAGCAGATTATATTGAGTTCCTTCAGTACAAAGCATGTAAGCAGACATCTTCTGAGATAGCTTCTGTTGTTCAAACAGGTAATACAGTAACTTGTTTCTCCCAATCTTCATCCTCTGAGTCTTGGGTCATTGATTCAGGTGCATCAGATCATATTTCTGGTAACAAATCTCTTTTCACTACTATTTCGTTTTCTCAATCTCTTCCAAAAGTCACAATGGCCAATGGGTCTCAAACCATAGCAACTGCAATAGGTCAAGCAAGCTCACTTCCTTCCTTACCTTTAGATTCAGTCATTTATGTTCCCAATAGTACATTTAATCTCATAATTGTTAGTCGCTTAGCCAAATCACTTAAATGCGTTGTTTTATTTCTTGATGACCATGTTTTTATACAGAAACGCAGTACGGGGCGGATCATTGGTACTAGGTGTGAATCAAATGGACTTTATTACCTTATCCTTGCTAAATCACATGGACTCACATCTTGTCTTCCTTCTACAACTTGTCATGTTACTGATTCACCAGATTTATTACATAAACGGTTAGGACAGCCCAGTCTGTCAAAACTTCAGAAAATGGTATATGGTTTATCTCACTTGTCAGCTCTAGAGTGTGAGTCATGTCAGCTCGGTAAGCATACTCGCTCCCATTTCCCTCGGCGTCTTGATAATCGAGCAGAGTCACCTTTTACTTTAGTCCATTCAGATGTTTGGGGTCCTAGTCGGGTCAGTTCCACCTTGGGATTCCGCTACTTTGTCAGTTTCATTGATGATTATTCCAGGTGCACTTGGATATTTTTGATAAAAAATCGATCTGAGCTGTTTTCTATTTTCCAGACCTTCCATGCTGAAATTCAAAATCAATTTGGGGTTTCTATTCGCACATTTCGTAGTGATAATGCCCGAGAGTATTTGTCTTCCCCATTTCAGCAGTTTATGAAATCTCATGGGATTATTCATCAAACATCTTGTCCGTACACATCTCAACAAAATGGGGTAGCTGAAAGAAAGAATAGACATCTTATTGAAACTGCTCGTACCCTACTCATACAATCTCATGCTCCGTTGCGTTTTTGGGGGGATGCAGTTCTTACATCTTGCTATCTTATTAATCGTATGCCATCTTCAGCTATCCAGAACCAAGTTCCATTCTCTGTCTTGTTTCCCCACTTACCTTTGTTCTCTCTTCCACCCCGTATCTTTGGAAGCACTTGTTTTGTCCATAACCTTACTCCAGGAATATATAAGTTAGCTCCTCGTGCTCTTAAGTGCGTATTTCTGAGTTTCTCGAGAACACAAAAGGGGTATCGATGCTACTCTCCTGACCTCCAGCGGTACCTTATGTCCGCTGATGTTACCTTCTTTGAAACCCAATCATACTTCACAGGTTCAGGTCATCACTTAGATATTTCTGAGGTACTACCAGTTTCATCTTTTGGAGATCCAGTCACTCCAGCTCCACCACCTATAGCTCCAGTTCCACCACCTACAGCTCCAGTTATAGCTCCACCACCTATAGCTCTAGTTCCTCCACATAATACAATTCAACCTTCTGCAGCTCCACCACTCTTGACTTATCATCGTCGTCCACATCCAGCATCAGGCCCAGGTGATTCACGCCCCGCATCAGATTCTGCACCTACTGCGGACTTGTCTCCTCTTAGTCAACCAATTGCACTCCGCAAAGGTGTACGATCCACACTTAATCCTGATCCACACTTAATCCTAGTTTAAGTTACCATCGCCTGTCGTCACCTCATTATGCTTTTATATCTTCTTTGTCCACTGTTTCTATCTCTAAGTCTACAGGTGAGGCATTATCTCATCCAGGATGGCGACATGCTATGATTGACGAGATATTTGCTTTACATGTGAGTGGCACTTGAGAGTTTGTTCCTCTTCCTGCAGGTAAGTCTACTGTTGGTTGTCGTTGGGTTTATGCAGTCAAAGTCGGCCCGGATGGCCAGGTTGATCGGCTTAAGGCTCGTCTTGTTGCAAAAGGATATACTCAGATTTTTGGGCTTGATTATAGTGATACTTTCTCTCCTGTGGCTAAAGTAGCATATGTTCGTCTCTTTTTGTCTATGGCCGTTGTACGTCATTGGCCTCTTTATCAGTTAGACATTAAGAATATTTTTCTCCACGGTGATCTTGAGGAAGAAGTTTATATAGAGCAACTACCTGGTTTTGTTGCTTAGGGGGAGTTTAATGGTTGTGTGTGCAGATTGCGCAAGTCACTATATNGGTTGCAGACCTATTGACTTTCCTATGGATCCAAAATTCTAAGCTTCTGCCTGGACACGGGGAGCCTCTTAGAGACCCTACGAGATATAGGAGGTTGGTTGGCAAATTGAATTACCTCACAGTGACTGGACCTGACATTTCTTTTCCGGTGAGTGTTGTAAGTCAGTTTATGGATTCTCCCTGTGATAGTCACTGAGATGCAGTTGTTCGCATTCTTCGGCATATAAAGTCAGCTTCAGGCAAAGGATTACTATTCGAGGATCGAGGCCACGAGCAGATTGTTGGGTACACAGATGATGATTGGGCAGGATCACCTTTTGATAGACGTTCTACGTCTGGATATTGTGTTCTAGTAGGAGGTAACTTGGTCTCGTGGAAGAGCAAGAAACAGAATGTAGTTGCTCGATCTAGCGCCGAAGCCGAATATCGGGCCATGGCTATGGCGACGTGTGAGTTAGTTTGGGTCAAGCAGTTGCTCAATGAGTTAAAGTTCGGAGAAATCAGCAAGATGGAACTAGTGTGTGATAACCAAGCTGCTCTTCATATTGCGTAAAATCTGGTGTTCCATGAAAGGACTAAACACATTGAGATCGACTGTCACTTTGTTAGAGAAAAAATACTTTCAGGAGATATTGTTACAAAGTTTGTAAAGTCGAATGATCAACTAGCAGATATTTTCACTAAGTCTTTTACTGGTTCTCGTATTAGCTACATGTGTAACAAGCTCGGTACATATGATGTGCATGCACCGGTTTGAGGGGGAGAGTTAGTTTACAGATATGTATAGTGTAGTCTTGTCCCACATTGGAAGAGGAGTAATATCTCCTTGTAGCGTATAGCTATAAATAGGGACCTCTTGTATTGTATTTAAACATCTAATATCAATAATA